GCAGGCAGATGATTTCACTCTGTCTCTCTCGCACAGTGCCCGAACGGGTGCGAGAGAGACAGTGCTGTGCGGCACCGCTGCGGGTCGCGGCTCACTTACGCCCTCGTTAAGCAACTGGGTGATTTGGTCCACCAGGCCCGCCAAGGGCAAGGGCTCGCCGCGGCCGGCCTGACCCACTGCCTGCTAATAACAACCAAAACATTTCCCCGGCGAAGAATGGCAGCGCGTTCCCAGAAAACTAGCTGTAACTTCCTTCTTTTTTGGCGGTTGTCACAATAGGAAGTACAAAGCTCGGCACGCCATAGTGCCCCTGGCACGCCTATCGACAATTGAATCTCCCCAGCGGAGCGGGTGGGCGCGGCAGACGCAACGGACAGACGGATCTGAAAGTGACATGAGGAGCATGAGGCCATGATGCGTCCTGCTGTCCCGGCGGCGGCCCGGCGATCCAGGCAGGCCTGCCCCTCTGGTTCCCCGCAGAACCAGTCAAGCGGCGCAGGGGAGGGGCGGGGCGGGGCCGCGCCAGTCGGTGCATGAGTCGTTGAGTATGGTCAGTCCCGGGACGGGACGTGCGTCGGCGCTCGAAAAGCAAAAGCATCATCGCGCACGTGATCGTGATGGCTCGCCAGCGCTCTATTTCTCTATTTTTCCCCAGTGCTCTCACTCCCACCGCTTGTGGCCGCCGTGCAGGGTGCGCGCGATATTAATTGTTGTTGCTTTTTATTGTTTTTCGTTCGACTGGCCGCGGCCTGTCGACGCGCGCGTCGTCTCGACGCTTGGCGCGCAATAAAAATATAATTAGTGCGGAAAAAGTCAGCCAGACGCAAATAGCTCCATGCTCGTGCATTCTCGGCCGAAGTGGACGAAATTATATCTCGTGTGTGTGTGCATATATGTGTGTGTGTGTGTGGTGTGGGGCTTAAAATCTGTGGCAAAAAGAGGAGGACACGCATGTAGCAGCCGAAATTGGCCCCATGCGACCGTGGAATCGAAGAAGAAAACCGTCCGCGTGATTATTTGAGGGAGTGACGGGCAATATTCGAGGCGGGCGTTGCAGTGCTGTCTTCCAGTTGGGGGGGCCTGAGCCAGGAGGGGCCAGGGGATTCCCTGAGGGGAACGCGAGCTTCCGGAGCGTCCTCGCCGCGGCGGGCGGGAAGCACTCCATCGATGGACAGACGGCAAAAACGGCGCGGCTCAGAGAAAGGGCGGGAAAAAAAAGACTGCCGCTGTCTCGACAGTCCGACGGTGGTCCATATCAATCAGTGGCGAACGCGTCCGCGGACGAGGAGGAGAAAACGGCCAATATCGAAGCAACGAGGCGTACATTTCATTTCCCACGTGGAAGCGCAGCGCGTTAGCGTCGCTAACGGCAGAACCCGCCAGAACCTCTGCCTCTGAAATCCCCGATCCCCGCGTGGCCGAGTAAGATTGCCCGGATGATACGCCGTTGCAACGCAACGCCGTGCCTTCGGATTTCCGAATGTACCCGAACGGCTTCGGCCCTTCCGGCTGACCGGCCGATCGGGAGGGCCAGATAACGTGCGCACCGCCTGCCGCTGCCGGGCCTGCTGGCTGCGAGGCGCCACGGCCGTTTCAGATAACCTGAAAAGTGAGTTATCCCAAACCCATATCCTCCCGAACCAGGTCGCACTCGGTGCCTTGCCGAGGGGTGGTGAGGGGTAGGTCGCCCGAAACGACACTCCGAGAGAGAGAGAAGGGAAGAGCGGGGAGCGAAAGGTTGTGCGAACTTTTCCGAGTCCTCCTCCTAACTGAATTACATGACGAGATAGCATCACAATTTTGTTCGCCACGCTGCCTCCATATATGCAACGCAACGGGCCCCGTACACGTGTAGCGCCACCCCGCGCGTCTGGTAATTGTAAAGCGGGCCATGTCACCTCCCACTCACACACACAAGCACACACACACCCACAGGGGCCAATCAGAGCAGCCAGCCGGGCTGAAAATTTGCCGCTGGCGTGCCACTGCATAAGCATCATGAGGGGGATCAGGGCGGAGTTTTCGCGATTATCCCGGTTCTGTCTGTCTGTCTATCTGTCTGTCTGCCCGCCCGTCCAACTGACTACTACGTGTATCCGCGGGCCGCGGCCGGCGGATGGATATGAAGTGACGGACAGCACATTCGCCCAACCTTACAAGCAGGGAGGCGCGCGTGGGCCGAGAGAGGCAAGTGGCAGTTATTAACGTTTTCGCATGGCGTCCCTTCATTTGCACTCACACACACACAACCCCACACAAACACACACACAAGCGCGAGCGCGCAGTGCGCGGTGGCGGTCGGGGCGCAGCGTGCGTGGAAACGCATCACCCTCTTGACCTGGATTTAGACGGTGTCGCGTCATTTGCATAAAATGTACCGTACGATCCGCAGGGCCGTGCCGGCCTGCCACGGCCTGCCACGGCCTGCCCATTGAGCGGTGCATTGTGCGCGCTGCTGTGTGTGGTTAATGTATTGAATAATGCCCCATTAGTATGAGCGAGAGGCCCGGCGAGATTTCGCGCGCGTTGTCAGTCACGATGCGTCTGTCTGCGTCCGGCAGGGTTTCCGCTTCTTCTGCTTCCGCGGCAGTGCAGTCGCGGCAAACGCTGAAATTCCTCGTTGAAATCATCCACGGCGTTGCATTGACGGTCCTGGCCGAGCGCCGGCTGGACCCACTGGACCGCAGGCGCACTTCGAGATGTGTGGTCCGCTCGGCGCTGCCGCTGGGCGCTGTTCGCACAATGGCTCTGCGCTGCACCGAGCGCCGCACGCTCGGCTCGCTCGGCCTGGATTGATTTATAACGAGAGCCATCAGCCGAAAGGGCGCAAGGAGCCACTGCACCGCCTGCACCGGCCCATCATCACGATAATTAGCACCGAGCCAAAGAGTGCGGCTTTACAAGTAGCAAATGTAGACAGGGTCAATCCATAAGAGAAGTACTTTAGAAAGTTGTCCTTTATTTCACGCGAACTCTGTGGATTTGAAAGTTCCTCCTCTAAAATTAATGTCATGTGGACACGAATTTCAGTGAACCCTTTTTTCAGATTTATTGGATAGAGTTTAGTTCTTTCGATCGCTGGCCGTCCACTTTGTGTCGCTCCGTGTGTGGCGAAACTGTCAATGGGCACGGCTAGCCTCGGCTAGCCTCGGCCAGGCCTTCCCCGTACTTTCTGCGGGGACACGTGCTTCCTCGCGTGCCGTCACGCCCAAGTCGCGCGTGAGCGCATCGCCGGCACATGCTCGAGAACTCAAGTTTTCATCCCGGCTGCGACTTATTTGCACGCATTCTAGGACCCGTCTGCGGCACAAATAGGTCGGACATTGTGGCCTTACCCCTTACCTCTTCCTCCTCTCTCTTTTCCCCGATACCCCTCATCCAGACGGGAGGAAATGAGAGAGGAAATAAAAATAAAATAATTAGCTGCATTTGGCAGGCGGCTGCCCAGTGAACGGGACCCGCGGGCGTTGTGTTCCTAATATAATTAGGCTGCTCCTTATCTTATGCATTACTGTCCCTCAATTCTCTTGTTTATCTTCCTTGTTCTGTTGGAAAAAAGGGGGAGAAGGAATACGGACAACGGAAGACAAGCTAATTTAAATGACGCCTCTGCTGGAACCTTTTTTGCACTGATTGTTTTAGCTAGGCTGGGTGGTAATTTGCAGGACCACCGGACTCACCCACACGCACGCGCACACGGCACGCACTCCACGGACCCACGCACACACACGCACCCGGACCCACGCGCAGCCGCTGGCCCGAAGCCTGCTGCCGTGCACCATTGCCCTACAGAGTGGCAGAAACCCCTGAAACAAGTCCGGTTGAGTTGATCGGACGAGGTGCCCAACTGCGCGGCACTTCTTGAAGGCGGTGCCCAACGACCAGTGCAGTGGCATTCCAGGCCGTTCCGAAAATCTGGCTGCATCTAGACGGCGCACTGCACACGCGCTGGCCCTGATGAAGCCATATCACTTGACTCAATTGTAACAATTTCCTTCCCTCACGAGCCGACCAAACACCGGCCTTCCGAAGACACGGCGCGGCCCCACGCGAAGCGAGCCATGCTCTGCCTCGCGGCGCCGGACGCGTGATTGGCCGATGTCCATTCCCAGAGGTAGCGGACCTACGCCGTTAAAATCACTTCCACATTTTTTTAGAGGCAAAAACAGGAGGGTTTGCTAATTTGAGTATATGGACGCGGACGGCCGAAGGGGCAGCAATTTGCACGGGCCTTCGCGGCGGCCGAACAGTGTCCCACAATTACACAGTGTGTAATTTGAATCACACCATCGCTTCGCACGTTTCCGATGGACGATTGCTAATTTTGTATGAGTGCTCGAAAAGAGGGAGTATATACACTCTGATGAGATGTTTACGTTACGGACGACGCGTAAAGCTGCCTGACGCAACTCCCGGCGGCCGCGCCCTCCTCCACACAAAGACAGTCATCCTGGACGGTTCGATCCCCTTTCCCCCTTTCTGCGTAGTTGCTTTTCCCTCCGCGAGATGGCGTGCGCGATAATCAGCGTGCCCCACACGCTAATCGGCGAGGCGGGAAAACGGAATCGCGAATCGCTGGGCGGGGCGGGGCGGGCCGGGCGTTTTACGAGCCACGGCCGTGCGCCGCACGGTAGCACTCAGCCTAGCGTCACGACTGCTCGGGCCATAGCACCCCGTGCGCGGCCTGGGACGTGGAACGGAGGAGCGGCAGGCGAGGGCGGGGGTCCCTTGGGCTGCCGGCCTCCGCCCGCCCTCGGCCAACGTATCATCAAACCGCGCCCGGATTGAGTCGTTTCCGAAGCCCTGGCAAAGTGCGTGAGTGGCAATCTGCCGGCCTTAAAAGGTAAACAAACTGGCCGGTGGGGAACGACGACGATGATGCGAGCCAGCGCAGCGCCTTGTCCGCGACGGACGCTGACACATAACCTCTCTGTTGCAGGCGAGAGTCATCGCAGCGCCTTGGCCGCGACGGACGCTGACACATAACCTCTCTGTTGCAGGCGATGTCGCGACTGCTGCTGCTGCTGTGCGGCTCGGCCCTGTGGTGCGCGGCGCAGGCCTACACGGGCAGCGACGACAGATTCGTCAAGAAGTACGCCATGATGAAGGTAAGACCCGCTTTCCCGCGCGGTCACCCGCACGAGCAATAAATCCCAATTAGACTCGGACGCGTGAGTGGTGGCCCGCGCCCCGGCCGCCCCGGCCGGCCGTTCGGATGAGTCGGCGGTGCGCGCCGAGCGCCCAGCGCGGCCAGTACATCGGGGAACACGGGGCCCGCAAATAAATGGCAAATAAATGCGCATGGGAATGATAAAGGAACAGCCACCCAACGCTCGCTCACGCACGCGCGTGCTCTCTCTCTCTCTCTCTCTCTCTCTCTCTCTCTCTCTCTCTCTCGCACACACATACACACACACAGCGTCTGCGTGCGACACGGGTCGGCGGCGCTGCTGGCGCTCGGCGGACCACAGCGCGTGTTACATGCTGGGCGTGCTGGGCCGACTGCCGAGGGAGGCGCCTCCTAATTGTTGCACCACTGAGCAAGTTGTCGGCATCACCGCCGCCGCCGCCCGTCCGTCTGCCTGCGAGTGTGTGTGCGTGTGTGTGCCTTTTGTTTTTGTGGTCACAACATAAAGCACTCAAAATCTGATGAAAAACGCATCTCGTCACTGGGATGATATGAATCATGAATCGCAAAAACCATGTCTGGGCCCCTAACCTCGCTTCTCCTCCGTTTCCGCGCGTCTGGCTTGTGCTCTCTATCTCTGTCTCTCTCTCACACACACACACAGTCTGTGAAAGGCCCATTGTCTCTCATCACGCTGCTTCGCTCGCATTCAATCGCAGCGAAAACTGGCGCGAAAAATTCCGTGTTCAGTGAGTGTGCGCTCGTCTTCCCCGAGTATCGGGGCCGCACGGCGCGGCATGGCACGGGCACGGCACGACACGGCACGGCATGGCAGTGGCGTGGCGGATCTCGACCGCAGCGCCACGTCCGCGACCACGTCGCACTCTACTAACTGAACGGACCGAGCGGGCCGAACGAAACCGAATATCGGGAACGTGGCACACGTGGCACACGTGCAAGCTTGTGCTGCTTGCGCTGGGCCGCGCGAAGGGCCGTCCGGGATATTAATTAGTCTCACTGAGTGGTCCGTTAGGAGGATGTCACAGCGTGTGTGTGTGTGTGTGTGTGTGGCGCGCGTGTGTGTGTGTGTGTGTGCAAAGTCATGAGAGCGGATTTATGGCAAGAATTTTTACTTGGGTCGCCTCCGGGCGTACGCGCGGGGGAGACGCCGTTAATTTCCTACCGAGAGAGACAGAGCGACGAAAATGACCCTCGGAATCAGTCTGCCGGTCCGTCGTGACGCCGAGTGCCCAGCAAATTCCAATCCCGTGGAGTCGATGCTCGCACACGCGGTGCGGGCGCCACGGGCAAGCATTATCGGCAGTCTCGTTTTCCGGGGTCTGCAACAATTGTTGTAATCTTCGAAAATCTAAAAATGCGCATGTTTTTCGTGCCACTGCGCATGCTCTGTATGCTGTCGTTGTATGCTGTCGATTACTTTTTTGCGTTTGTTTTAAATGGTGCGCCTTTGTCGCGTCACGTCTGCCCGTCCGTCGCGCCGCCCGCCCGCCGCGCCCGCGGCCGGAACAGCCTCGTCTCTCTCGCACTCGCGGGGCGCCCCGTGCAGCCCCGTGCTGCCCCGTGCGGGTGCGAGAGAGACGGAGCGACGGTGCGCGGCCGACACGCGCGTGGCTTTTTGCCGCGCATTCCCCGTCGCAGCGCGTCGTGTGAGACTCTGTGACGCGGCGGCACGGCGGCACGGCGGCATGGACATGCATTTTGGGCCGGCCGACCGCGAGGCAGCGATGCAGCGATGCTGCGAGGCGGATAGCATCGCATTCCGGGAACGAGGAGAAGCAGGAGAAGCAGACGCTGCACGCCGGAGGGGGCGGGGCCGGGGCGGGGCCGGGCCGGGATGTCCTTCGAGGGTCCTACCTAACCCGCAGGCCGCTCGGGGAAATGTTAATGACCCGGGAGATGAGATAGCAGACGATAGTGTAGGGCAGGGCCCGGCAGCTAATTGGGAATTAATCCGTTGTGAGAAGGCTCGCTTTCGGATTCAGATTCGAGCTTCCGATCCAGGCCCCCAATGCGAATCGCAGTGTGTGAGTGTGAGAGAGAGAGGCGGTCACGATGGCGAGTTCGTGTCCCGGAGTCCCGGCGGAGAGGTCGGCGAGTTTGCGGGTCCAGCGGTGGCCAATCACAAAGGCGGCCGCTTTGTGTGAAATCCCCGCGCGAAAAACGGAACGGGTCGCCCCGATTCGGCCTTTCGGCGCCATTCGGGGCCATTCGGCCTTTCGCCATTCGGCGCGCCGAGGCTGCGAACCGCAATCGGCATCGCCGTGTGGTCAGTCGGATTCAGATTCAGATTCGTCAGGCGGAGGGGCGCGCAAAGCGGCGGGCGTGACTCCATAGGCCGTCGTGGTCATGCACGGCGTGAAGCCGCTCCAGCAGCATAATGTGAGCCGGCGTGGAACGAGGCGCCGTCTCTCTCGCTCCCTCGCGCCCTGCGAGCCGTGAGGGCGAGAGAGACACCGCGACGGAACTCTGTTCAGAACGAGCGTGCTGCTGCCGGAAACCGCGCCGAACGGCGTAAAGAGAATTCGGCCGGGACCGGGTCGGCCGTGTGCACTGCCACCGGCAGGCTGTCTGCCTCGCACTCGAGGCGCGTCCCGTGCGGGAGTGAGAGAGACTCTTCTGGGGCCGGGGAGAGGCGGGGCGGGGAGGCTGCCGTGCAACGCCCTGGGCGCCCCAGGCACGGCAACGCCTTTGACGGCGTCCAACGAGGTGTGAGGCGGCGGCCCGGCGGCGGCCCGCGTGACCAGCAGTGTGCCGGGACCCACACGCGGATTGGGCGAGGAAGAGCCGTCCAAATGAGTTGGCGCCACCTCATTCAGCTTTCGGCCTTTCGGCGGACGGGACAGCCTTTCACGCCCAGGAGTGGATCCGTGACGCGTCCGTGACGTGTCCGTGACGTGTCCGTGACGCGTCCGTGACCCGGCCGGCCGCCAGGAGGAGGAGCAGTGCGTCTCGACGCTGACGCGACGGCGTGGAGCCGCAAAGGCCTCGAAGGCCGCGGTAATGGCGAAGACTGAGAATCTTGATCCGCGGGACAGCGGCGGTTATTACTTTACGTGTACCGCTCTGTCTCCCTCGCACCCAGCGGGCCGCCCTCCCAGAGTGCGAGAGAGACGACTCCCTTTTCGGCGAGCACGCGTCTCAGGCTCCATGACGCGTCGATTTTTCCGCTGCCGGCCACCGAAAAAGAAAATTGAAAGAAGGGGGCGTGGTGGCTGCATGCAGGTACGGCCCGGGCCAACTCATCACATGCACTGCAATAAATGCCCTCCTTGCCGAAGCGATTTCCAACGGGTTTTGTGTGATGTCTCACGACTGTCTGCCTTCCCACAGGTGTACGAGAGCTGCTTCGGGCCCGAGGTGGTGCGCGAGGTTCGCCAGGAGATGCGCGCCGCCAGCGCCAAGTGCCAGGAGCGCGCCCAGAGCCCCATCCTGAGCTTCGGGCCGGCCTTCGGGCAGGGCCCCGGGCCGTCCCTGGACCGCCTGGACCGGCCGCACCACCCCGTGCGGACCCACAAGCCCCAGCCCCAGCAGCAGCCCCAGCAGCAGCAGCAGGCAGACTCGGCGCGGCTGCAGCAAGCGCTCATGGCGGTGCTCAACCGGCAGGCAGTAAGTGCGGCGACACTCCGCGTTCTAGAACTTTTCATCTTTTCGGTGATACCCCGCGCGCTGGGGAGCGGCCAGTCACCGTCTCAAAAACCTGTGGCGATACCCCGCGCCGGACACGCACGTTCAGCACGAGCCGTTCCGACGCGGCGATACCCCGCGCGCGGAACGTTCCCCGTGCTTAATGTAGGTGAGGCTGCCCCCACGACGGGGAAAGGATTTCGGGACGAAGATTAATCACCCCCAGGACGGCGTCGGCGGGGAGGGGGGACGGGGGACGGGCGTCGCGACGCCGTCATCGCGCTAAACGGCGCGCGCAGTGTCCGCGGCGTCCGCGGCCCCGCGGCTAAGCGGCTCGCTGTGCCGGTCCCGCCTCGGCCGCCTCGTCATAGAATTGTTTCGCCCGTTTCGGCCTCACTGGCTGCTCCCAGCTCCGTCTCTCTCGCACCCCTGCGGGACGGCCCCTGAGTGCGAGAGAGACGGAGCTACGCGATCCGGAGGCAGCCCGCGGGACAACGGAGGCGGATGAAAGGAAGCGACGGCCCAGCGGCCGCGCTCCCGATGTCGCTTTGTTTACCTTTGGTGTCACCCGCGTCACCCGGCAAAAACAAAACGGCGACGGGGAAAAATGGGAGCAGCGGGTGTCGAACCCGCGTCGGGCTAACTGGGGAGTCGTCACTTTGACCACTCGGCTGACCGTTTCCGCAACTGTACCGAACACAGTGATTTTATAAGGCCAGCCAACGGTTCTCATTTCGTTTATGTTTGTATTTGTTAGCAGGGTGGCGGCTTCACGGCGTACCGGCCCGTGCAGCAGCCCCAGCAGCCCCCCGCCGCCCCCGCCGCCCCCGCGCTGCCGCAGCCCGTGGGGTACTCGTCGGCGCCCGGGTACTCCTCCTCGCCGTCCGGGCTGTCGGACCTCCTGACGCAGTACCAGCACCAGACCGGAGCCTCCGCCGCCCCCGCCCCCGCGCCATCGGCGGGGTCAGGTGTCTACCAGGTGAGCGCTCGGTCCCCAAGGCCCGCCTTGTCCATTTCCAAACTCACTCATGGACCCGGTGTCTGTCCAGGCGATGCCGCAGGTGGACCCGCTGCAGGCGTTGCAGGCACTGCAAGTGCTGCAGCAGTACCAGTCCCGGGGCAGCAGCCACTTCCACTACCAGCAGCCGCAGCCGCAGCCCGCCTACTACCAGCAGTCCTTCGGCAACCGGTACTCCAGGAGCTCCCGTGCCTCCAAGGCCATGGCCGAGCCGGCGGCCTCGCCCACGGCCTCGTCGCCGTCCTCGTCGTCCGCCGCGGCCTCCGCGGCCTCCTCCAAGAGCGCGCCGGGCCCCAAAAGGGCCTCCAGCAGGGCGTCCCGCGACCTGGACGTGCAGGGCCAGCTGGAGACGCTCACGACCAGGATGACGGGCCGCGTGAAGAACGTGACGTGTGTCATGCAGGAGCTGGGCTACGTGAGTGACTCTCCGTCGTAAACCTTGAGGGCCACCGTGGCCAATCCCAATTTCCCTGGAGGAAACGGATGGAACGGAAGTGGAACAGTATCCGCCTCCGTACTCCGTATACAGCGCCGCACAAAAACTTGCTTATTTCTCTCGTGCCACTTTGCGTCTCCAGGCTCTTCTTCTTTTCGTTTTCACTTCGCCGCTAAGTCATTATTTGGACATCCGCGCGCGTCTTTTTTAAAAACAATCAGTGCCGACACCAGGAAGGCGGGAAAAAAAGGGAAGCGGCAGAGGAAGCGGTCCACAGTCCGCGGAGTGAGCGGCGTCACCGCCGTGCGGCCGCCGTGAGGCCGCCGTGCTTTCGCTAGCCGCGTAGCGCGCGTAGCTTCAGGATCATAATTACTCTATTTGCGCGTGTGTGCGAGCCTGTGTGTGTGCACTGTGTTGTGAGTGTGTATGTGTGTGTGTGTGAGCGTGTGTGTCCAGAACAAGCCTTCGCGCGTCGATTGAGCTCAGTGGTGTAGCCAACAGGACAGCAGCACTGCAAAAAAAGAGTCCCGTCAAGCGCCAGTTCAAATCCACTTGCATACCAGGTCATTTATTAAAAACCTTCTTCCCTTTTTTTGTATGAGAACAGACTGAGAGCCTCTTGGTGCCACTAAAAAAATGCAAATATGTCGTGGAGTGATTATTTTTTGTCGGAAAATGGCTAACGGTGTGGTGTGTTCCAGCTGGACTCGGCGCTGGAGCCGGACTTCGAGCGCATCGCGGCGCGCATCTCGCGGCTGCCCGTGTCCCACGAGCTGCGCCGGGACATGCTGGACGGCGTGCAGTTCTGCAGACAGTTCTCGGTAAGACCACTCCGGCAATTCATGCCAAAAATTGACCGGCGTGTCCCTTTTCTACTTGAAAAGTGCTCGGAAAAGTGGCAGCCGTTTGAACTTTGTCCCACAGCAATGCATCCCGGACTCGCGGCGCGACAAGTTCCTGCTGTCCGGCGAGCTGCTGAGGCCCATGTTCTTCTTCCGCTGCTACAAGCACAAGAAGCTGGAGGCGTGCATCATGAAGGACGTGCGCGAGCGCTACCAGCAGGCCTCCGTGGACGACAACCTGCTGCCCAACACCAGGGCCATGGACCTGGACCGCGACGTCGAGCGCGAGGGCCTCGACGAGGACCACATGGCCGCCGCCGTGTACGAGTTCCTCTACGGCGGCGACAACCTGGACGCCGACAGCTTCTTCTGAGGCGGCCGACGACCGCCACTTCCATTCCACGGCCTCGCCGGCCACCTCGCGCCCAGCCCCAGTGCGGTTTCAAATTCTCAAGTCTGCCACAAACTGCCAGGCGAAAAAGACCGTTTTCTGGCCATTTTTAGAGGCTGTTTGGAAACTTGGGGAAGCGAATGTCCATGGTCTCTTGTGATTTCTTTCTCGCTCGCAGTTTAGGCGTGGAGGCTGTGAACAGAGCTCCGTAGCTTTTTTTGCCAATTGTATGTATTTTGTAGATTGATGAATTCGCGAACGGACAGTGCTCGGTTTGCGGTTCACGCCCGAGGCAGCAGGGTTACCCACTGGGCCAAAAAAGTAAAGGGATGTTCGGAATGAAGCGGTGCTGAATTAAAGGGGGACATAAGATACGGGTTTCAAGATGCCAGTAATGCCAACCTCTCGCAAACTTTTGTGGATAAATTGCATTGGGAGGTCGAACAAGGTTACAGGTGCGTAGGGCATCGCCAGAGTGGGTATCTCGCTGCCCTCGGGCCTTGGAGCCTTCGTGCCCCCGGGCAGCAGTCCGGCAATAAATTGTTGTCATGCAGCGAAAACTCGTCCTAGTTTGGGACGGAACAGGCGATGGGGACGACTGAGGCTGCGGGCGCTGCGGGCCCCATTTGTCCCATTCCGAACGTCCCAACTGGAACACCGAACTCACCGAGTTGAGGCTGACCTAACTCTCGGCCCAACTCGAGAAGACGAACCTCCCTCGAAACACATGTCCATTCATGTCGGCAAGTCCCTCAAAATAACGAAAGCACTACTTGAAACCTGACAGTATTTAGAGACAATAAATAAAGGGACAGACGGCGCTGATGTTGATGACGATGTGTTTCATGGGTAGTATCAAATTGTGTACCACTTTTGTAATAAATTTGCCAATAAACGAATTTAAATGAATGCGCGGTTCTTGTTCGCCTCCTTTCCCTTGCATTGTGCTTGCATTGCCGCGCCGTGCGGCCTGTGCGTTGGGCCCGTTGGGTGGCCTACGCTAGGCTCCACAGGCGTAGCAGAGGCAGAGGCGCAGGCGAGGCGTACGCAGGGCTTCCTGCCTCCCAGGCGAAGGGCCGCCTTGGGCCGCACAGTGGGCCAGACGGCTGTTTCCGCACGGCGTTTCGTCACTCTGTCTCTCTCGCCAGAGAGCGAATCGCGTGCAGCCAAAACGGAATGAACTAAATTAAAAGAGAAACCTTAATAAAAAGGTACACAGATTCATTTTGCATGCCGTGCCGTGCCCACTGGGACCACCCGGCCGCGGAGCTCATGAATTCGGCATCCCTACCGAGTTACGAGTACGGGCTTGGTGTGTACACCCCCCCCACACAGACACACTCCTCTTACACACATACACAGATTCGGACGCACTGACACGGCCCCTGTGTACAGGCACTTGCACACACAAAATAACGCATGCATACTCGTGTATAGCCACGCACTTGAACACACACACACACACACAGGCTACGGCGCACACAGCCTAGCACAGCAGCAAGGGATGGTGGCCGGCAGCGCGGCGACTAGACAGAGAAAGAGAGGGCGGCCGCGCCGCGCCCCACCCCCTGGTCCCTCTGGTCCGCGTGCGGGGCGCGGAGCGCGGAGCGCTGGCTGGGGCCCGGGTAGGCGAGGGGAAACGCGGGGCGTCCGTGGGGTGGGGCACGGGGGTGGGGCACGGGGGTGGGGCACGGGGGCCCGGGGGCCCGAAGGGGGTCGTACAGCCCTCGCTACGCCGCGTCGCCGCTGCGCTGGCGGGCGGCTCGGCAGTGGCGCTGGAACCCAGGCGCCGCACGGTCGCCGCTCCCCCACGCGCGAGTCCGCCGCCACTGGTGCTTTCCTTCGCGCCCGCCTCCACCGCCATGGCCATGGCCGTGGTCAGGATCTCGTCCGTGTTCACCAAGGACGAGCCGGGCTAGACGACGTCGCCATGTACAGTGCACCCACGCCCACGAGGCTCCACGAACAAACCCGAGGATAAAAAAAAGGACGTTGCACCGGCGCGCGCGATTTGTTTTTGTTGTTGTTGTGTTTTGTTTTTGTTTCGTCGTCTTCGAGTGAAGTGATTTTCTGCGTGTTGCTGCGGGCCACTGCGGTCCAAAGAGTTCTGTGATAATGCCAGTGGAGACGGCCTACACTAATGGTGAGTGCGAAGTGAGGTTAGGTGGTGACCTCGCTTCAACTCTCCCCCATTCGACGTCCTTCGTCCTTCGACACCAATCATCCGTCGCCCTGTGGAAATTTTCGGGCTATGCTTTCACTGACCTGCGCCCCTGGCTCTTTCGGCTTCTTCAATCGGTAGAGAAACAGAATCTTGGTGAGGTAAATACGGGAGCGCCTCCCTCATCCCCCGCCCGCGTGGTCCATGATGTGTTGACGTTTGGAGATGATCGGGACTTTGGTTAAAGAGGGAGGGTGAGGCGGTACTGAAACGAGAAGCAAATAGGAAATGTGTGGGTGTAAGGGGGAAATTTTGGTTCCTCCAGTAGTAAAATTCTTAGCCAGTAAATGGCGCAATGTTTTGGTAGGCTGCTGACCTCCCATGCACTCGGTCCACAGCGAAGGGCTGTCTCACGCCTTTCCCATTCGCTTTGTTTTAGTTTGATAGTGATTCGGCCTGGAGTGAATTTACAAGTTTTCATTTTTCACCCCGTCCCTCCCCTTTTAATTTACAATATCACTCGAATGTTTACGAAAGTTCATCCCTTTGTTGACATCTTATTCCAGGGGTGGACGACACTTACGCGAAAGTTTTCGATCTGGACGGCATCACTGTTTACGGCAGTGTCGAGTTAGGTATGCTAAACTTTTTTCATATTTTTTTAAATTTCCCCTTTGTACGTATTTGTGTGTTCTCGGTGCACCCGATGCACCACCAGCACTTTTACGTTACCGCACCACCGTTTATGCATTCAGTAATAGCAATCTGAAACGGGGAGAACGAGTTTTTTCTCTCTCGTTCTTTTCCTTCCTTTTTCTTCTCTCTCCCTCGGCGAGTGGACTCGGCCGAGTTCGTCGACCCCAGCCACCCCACCGGTACCTATTTCTCTTCGTTGCACCTCTGGCGTGCCTCTGGCGTGCCTCTGGCGTGCCCGAGAGACCCCTCCCTCACTGCGCTGCACCCCACGCCAACACGCCTGTCGGGCCGCATTACCGTACTTCCAGTCCGGGGCCAAAAAAGGATTTAAAAAAAAACCTGTTTTGCACACTTGTAAAATAATTGGGTGTAGGATTGCTGCTGCTCGAATCAGACCGCATGCGGTGAGGGTGATTACTGGCGAACGGACTTTGTGTGTAGATCGACCGCACTAGGTGAATGGTTAGTTGCCTTGGCGCTTGGCGGTTCGCCTCAAGGAGCGCCTCAAGGGCCGCCGCGAGCTGCCAGTCAGGGATATCGAGATATCGAAACATCGCCAACAATGCCAACTCACTGGAAAGGGCCGGACGGGCTGCGCGCCTGGGTCGCGCCCCGATTCCCTGGAATCCCAAGTCCGCCTGGAGGCCGTGGAGGCCCTGGAGCCTGGAGGAGGCGCGAAGGCTCCGCGGCGCTCTGAGAGGCCCCTTGGTTGGCTTTAGGGCTTTGCGGAGTGGAGTGTGGAATACGGAAAGCGGAGCCGGACGACCCGGAGGACCGGCCGTAGACTCGAAAGGGGATTCTGCGAAGAACAAACGTGTCTTCGTTTTGGAATGCAATGCGTCTTTCTTTCGCGGGTTGGCTCAGGCCGTGGCTCAGGCCCAGGCCGTGCCCAAGCCGTGGCTCAGGTCCCACGGGGCGGCGGCGAAGGCCCTCCACGGCGTCGGCGTGGATGCTTTCGGAGTTTCGGAGGGCCGGGGCGGGCCGGGGCCCTGCAGGGCGGAGCGCGGCCCGGGGGACGGCGAGTCAGCGCTGCGCCATACAGTGCACGTCGCTGATATGCAGATTGTTTACGATTTACGGTGCAGTCGCCGGGCCCGCTCCGTCCCGCTCCCTCTGCAGTCCGCGCCCGTCCGTCTCACTCCCTCGTCCAGTCCTCCGCCACCGAATGCAACCCCTTCCCCAACGGTGTGCCTGCAGGCTGATGCCGAAACGCCCTGTCTCTCTCGCACTCGCGGGGCGTCCCGCAGGGGTGTGAGTGAGAGAGACACTAAAGCCTGCGAGGCCACAATCGTGTCCTGCGGATAGTGTCCCGGCCTATTCATGCCCTGGGTGGGCAGGCCCCGGGGGTGGGGGTAATATGTGCCCTGCCGCGCCGCCGCCGCCCTGCCTCACTATCGCCCCAAAATGGATGCATGCCGCACCGGCCGCACGGCCCATCCCCTGAGGCACATTCGTTACGCCGTCCGTGCGAGCGGCCCGTCCATCCTGCCTTCCGCATTAACGCGAAAGAGGAGAAAAGAAACCATTCATTTTCATTTTCACCCGTTTAAAAGGCTTCTTTTTGCGGTCTTTTTAATAGCTCTGTTCACTCCAAGGCGTTGGCTCGCCTCGCTTAGGCAACCAATATAGTTCAGGTAGTCCAAAAAATCTCATTCAACGAACGTTAATGAAAGCAGATGATCCGTCGCGTTTCACAACTGCTGTGATAGCCGAGAGGTTAGAGACGTGGGATCGAGTTACCGCAGGCGGGCGTTCGAATACCAGCGTCACATACGTTTTTTCGACTTACTATCCTAAGGGTGGTGGTTCGAGGCCATCCGAGCGGAGCCGTGTGCAACAGACCCACATGCCGGAGGTTCAACTCCTAACAAATATTTCCATTTAATTTTACTGCCTCACCCAGTGCGGTTGAAACCCGTGAACGTGAGCCCACCCTGTGCATGGGACGTGGTGGTCCAGGGAGTAGAGGCGTCGATTCCCAATGCTAGGGTCGGCGGTTCGACTCCCCCAACTTCTTGCGATATTTTGACCGGGTCGGTCGAGTCCTGTTGCGTCAACAACCCACCTCACGCCGGTCCCCTCATCATGGGCCGTGGTGGCCGAGAGCGTATAGTCGTGTGATCCCGACGGCGGGGTCCGGGGATCGAATCCCATCATTTCATTACATTTTTCGACCGCCTTCCTCCCAGTGCAACTCAAACCCGTCGTCCAACACGCTGCCAGACGTACAAGCGTGATAGCGTAGTGGTCAGAGTCACATTCACCTGGCCACTCCGCTGTGGGTGTCTAAAAAGCAATCCGCTTCGGCGGGTTGGCCTCGGCACTGGAGCGATGGAGTATTTGATCCATCAATCCAGACCACCCGGTGTGTGGTTGCGGGTGGTGCCTCCTCGACTTGTCGGGGAGGCGTTGATAAGTCCTTTGAAGCTGGCCTAAAACGCTGTATGTTCGGTACGGGAGCGCCGGACAGTGGGGGTACCATGGGGTACACAACCAACCCTACGAAAACAAGAAGCTCCCACCAAACCTCTTCTCTGTCTGAGTCTCTCTCTCTGTCTCTCTGTCGTCTCACTCTACGTCCCGCCCCTCAAAGAGCTTCGTACTGGGTGCTCTCACCCAGCTGCCTGAGCTTTGGGGTCCTACTGGGTCCCCCGGCGAACGCTTAGAGTCGCTGACGGGATTAACCCCAGGTACCTGATAGCACCGGTTCCCATCCCGAACACCGAAGTAAAGCAGGAGGCCTCCCCATTAAGACTGGGGAGGGGGTGTAGAGTTCAAATTTTTTTCCTTTCCCTTTCAAATTTCTCAGTCAATACTCGTTCGGTTTCCTTATACGGGGTAGTATGCGGGAGAGGGGAGGAGGGGGCGCAGCTGGACCTGCCTCGCTTCTTTCACTTATCCCTTCGGATCGTGTGTTGCCGCGCCCCAACTGGGTCAGAGGGCTGCCTGCCCCGACCGCCCTGCAGCGCAAGGCAGCGGCGAGGCGGCCACCCCTTTACTGGCCGACCATTCGCCGGGGCATTAATCTCTAACTAGAGGCGACATCGCCTCATCAAGCGGCTCTAAATTAACCAGCACTGCACTCATGGCGACCGCCGTCATGGCAAAGTCATGGCACGCCGCCCGACCCCGTTCCTTGGGTGGGAGGGCCGCGCTGGAGTCTCCAGGATGGAGTCTCCAGGATCAGGAAAAGCACACTGTGGAGCACGCCGCACCTCAACACCATGCCTACCCAACCTCGCCACGCGTGCTGGCACGGCCTAGCTGGGCCTCGGGTGGAGCCTCGGGTGGAGCCTCGGGCGGGGCCGGCCCTCCGTTGTTTAACTTTTCACAACAAGGGTCCCCCCGCAGCCGAAACAAAGTGGGCTCGGGGAAGGAAGGAAAGAGGTCAGTGCTGCGACACTGGGAAGGGGAGGAGGGCAAGGGGGGCGTCATTTCCATGACAAGGAAGCATGACTGTGAAGCTATCTGGGTCGGCAACAGCCAACAACCGCCCTGGCTGCCTCGCTGCAGCTCCCCGACGCGAGGCTAGCGAGGAGGGAAGCGAGCTGGGCCAACAACCGTTTGTCTGCACCTGAACGCGCCGCCGGCGCCGCCTTATCCTTCTTATCGCCTCGTTCGGAGCCGACGCGAGCCGAGGGGTTTCTTTTCCTCTCCCTTAACCTCTCGGGCCGCCCGTCACTCCGCCAGCCTGCAAAGAAGGCCCTCGCTCTTGTTCGTGTTGTTGTTGTTGCTTTCCGAATTCCATTTCGCCGCGACCCCCACTGAAAAAAGAGAAAAGGCTGACCCAGAAAAATAGAGGGCGCAGCCAACAATAACATCAGCAACAACAGCGGGGGGAAACAAGAATAAAATGACAACAGGATATACAGCCCTCCGCGGTGGGTGATGGGCCCCCGGGGGCCGCCTGGGACCCCGCCGGCCTCCGGACTTGGCAAAACTGTCCTGGCCGCCGCCGCCGCCAAACGCGTCCATCAGGGGTTCCCGCGGTGACCTTGGGCCGTACGCTCCGTAGTGAGTGCGACGGAGACGGGGCGACTCTTTCGGGCCGTCGAGCGATTCCACCGCGTGTCTCTCTCGCTCCCTGGGGCACGCTGCGTGTGCGAAAGAGACAGAGTGCCGGCCTGCCACTCCGCCGTCGGCCCCAAGGCCGAAGGGCCGAAGGCATCAACGCGTAACAACGAGCGGCGCGGCGAGGCAGACGAGATAATGGAAACTTCCACCGCGCAAGGCGCAAGGCACGCCGAGGATTAATCACTTGTCGGCGAAGGAGCGCAGCGCGTCGG